TCTTGGCTGTGGCGTGTGTCAAGGCTAAAAGAAGGAAGATTTGCGTCCTCATTCTGTCCCCGGCAGCCTTGGGCCCCGATCCCTGTAGGTGAGGTTCGTGGAGTGCACTTGGCTCCCTGGTATGTCCAGAAAGATGTTTTTGTTCCCCTCCTTCAGGTCTTAGTCCTGAGACTACCAATTAAACCATCCCATAAATCTTCCATTATAGGTAGTAAAACCTAATTTTAGATTTCCTGCTTGTTCCAGTGTCCTGCCTGATTGCTACCAGTTGGGGAGAGGCCGGACCGTGAAGCAGACAGTTCATACTGCGCCATGTGTTAAAGCCTTTGTCTTACCTATTCGGGGTTTGGTCTTAATTCCCTGACTGCTTTTACCTTAAGTTTCAAAAACTTCTGAGGCTAGCTACGGAGAACTCTGTAGCTTACTTGGTTCTTTTTCATGGACAACTTTGATGCAAAGAGTAAGGGAAGAAGGGACTGGGAAGGAGTAGGCATCGGAGGGGGTGAAGGGAAAGACCGTCACAGTAGTAGCTCTGCCGTCCTCCTCCCTGTGAAGACACGAGGGTGCGCCCCCTACTGGTCTTCCACACTCTGGGCCCGTAACTCAGCCCCTTCCCCAAGCTGGAGAGTGACAGGTTCTTGGGAAAGCACGTACATGTGTTGAAAGCATTTACATCAATGCCTTGTTTCTACCCCTCCTTTCTTCAGCGGCCCGACACCTTTGCCCAATGATGCCGGATGGTTTACCTGGGCTGGAATTTGGGGGATCGGGAGACGTGCTGGTGACTTTGTCCTTAGTCACAAACCCAGTGGCTGGTTTCTTGCTATCATGACAGTAGTGGCTCCCATCTCATCCCTGGGACATTGCGAAGGGGAATGACAAAGGGCAGTTACAAGGATGTTCTGGGTTTGAGGCGGCCAAACTTTGTTAACTACACAGGCGAATTGAAACCTGGGGGAAAGTTGTTCTTCACCTTGGAGACTTGGCAGGGAGTCGTGTGCTCTGAGAAACCACCGGCGAGAAGTTGGGTGGGTCTGTGTGTATGGATTTATTGGTTGGGGCAGGGTGGGGTGTGAGATGAAATATATGTGAAGTGTTAAAACGTTTAAAACTTAAAAATGACATATATAAGCATTTTTGAACTTTAGATGGTGGTATCAATAATATTTTGTTCATTATGAACATATAGATGAACCAAAATATTTAAATTAAATCTTTCTGCACTCAGACATAATGGCTACTGACAAGTGATGCATTTAATTCCAGAGAGTGGTTATTCTTTCATATACTATTTTCCCCAAAGAGGATCATATTATACATATACTTATATAATGTGTTTTGTTCACTTATTGGCACATTATAAGTATCCGTCCATGTTGATAAGTATGCTTAATGAAAATTTTTTATGCCCCATTATTTTAAAACTGTCTAGTGTCCCAGTGTATGGCCCTATCATGATATATTTATCTGTCTAGTCCTCTTCTGTTGCATATTTAGGCTGTTTCCAGTTTTCTATATTATAAACCAGGAGTTCTCAATCTTGAGTACAGAATACAGATGCCTGGGCCTTATCCCAGACTAGTTAAATGAGGCTCTCTTGGGGAGGGAGCCCAGGAATCAGTATTCTCACATGCTTCCAAGGCTGAAAATTACTGTTGCAAACCATGCTAGATTGAGATAGCAGACTGAGATATATTCTTGAAAGTGGAATTAAGAGATCAAAGATATGTATCTTTAATCTTTTTATATAGACTGTGAAATTATCATTCAGAAGTTTTTTTAAACTAGTTTTTACTTTAAGCTGTAAGGTTTTAAAATGAAAACAATGAAAATATTTGCATGTGCCTTGTGGGGAAGAGATCTGTACAATGCCTAATAATATCAGCTGGTCTGTTTGGCTTTATTTAGTTTATTTTGCACTGTAACATGACCACGTTACTAAGGTAACAAAAGGGAGTATATTTGGTGCCACTTTCTCCCCATGGATGCCTTGGTGAGACCATGGTGAGGGTGGCAGACGTAACAACTTTGATGATGAATGTCTTAGTCTGTTCAGGTTGCTATAACTGAATACCATACACTGGGGCTTATAAACAACAGACATTTATTTTGCACAGCTCTGGAGGCTGGGAAGTCCAAAATCAAGGTGCTGGCAGATTTGTTGTCTGCTGAGGGCCCATTTCCTGGTTCATAGATGGCGCCTTCTTGCTGTGTCCTCACCTCATAGACAGGGTGAGGCAGCTCTCTGGGGTCACTTTTATAAGGACACTAATCCCATTCATGAGAGCTCCACCCCTAAGACCTAATCCCCTCCCAAAGGCCCAAGCTCCTAATGCCATCACCTTAGAGGTTAGGATTTCAACATAGGAATTTTGGAAGGACAGAAACATGTGGTCCATTGCAGTGAGCACGGACTGTTCTGCAGAACTGGGCCCATGCCTTCTCTTGTTTCCTAATCGAGCCTCAGAACTTGGAAAACTGTTGCACATCCGTCCATTGTTCAGTTTATACACTGTGAAATTTGTCCACATGTTTTATAATTTTTCTATTTCGGTGGTTATTTTTCTTATAGTAAGATGCAGTTATAAAAGTCAAATAGTATTTCTGGGCTTAAAATGAGAAAGAACAGTTCTCTGTCTACCATTTTCCTGGAGATCCTTGTTTTGCAGAGGTGACTCCTGTCCTCTTAGCTGTTTCTTCTGTCACTTACCTCCACGTATACAAATCACAGGCCCTTGCTGCTCTTTCGGGAGCTTCGCATTTGGATGCTATTGATTTCCTGCTAAGGAAGATGGGCATTTAGCTCATATCCCATTCCCCCATCTCCTGTTCCTCCATCCTTCCAATGTAGGTAAACAATGCTGGTTGAATAAATATGCACTTGTAGCACTATTATAGCCACGTAAATGTTGCTTACAGCTGAGCCATATAGTGTGCTGTGATTGTATTTTTCCCCAGACTTAATAACTGTCTGTGATTTTATTGTTGCCCAAGTCCTCATCAGTAAGACTCACCTGAACTCCTTGGCAGAACTGGCATCCCTTCCCAATGTGATAGAATGAATTTGGTAATCTCTTGTTTTTTTTTTTTTTGTTTGTTTGTTTGTTTGTTTTTTGGTTTTTGTTTTTTTCTGGTGGTGGTGTAATGGGGTGATATTGCCCTAAGAAGCTCTTGCTCTTAGACTGAGCTGCTGGCTGCTTCCAGAGGTGGCTGCTGTCCTGGCATTCCTGCCTGCTGGCATCCTGGGGGTCCTCTTGGTCCTTGTGCTGGCCTCGAGGTTACCCTGTCAGCCTCCTAGTGAGTGTAGCCCCTAATGGTGATGGTTTGACTGGGCATTTACTTCTCATTAAGAAACATTTCCTTCACAGTTTGGAAAGTGATGCTTCCTTGGCTTCCAGCTCTTGTTGTTGTCGAGAAGCTTGGAACGCTATCCTAGTTCCCATTTCTTCTCTCCGAACGGTTTAGGTTTTTCTCTTTCATCTCAGTGTCCTGAAATTTCACAGTGATGTGCCTCGGTGAGGGTCGTCTTCCTTTGGTTGTCCTGGGTGCCCTGTGGCCCTTCCTATCTATGCCTTTTCCTTCCTGCCCTTCAGTGTGGGAATTTTTCTGTATTATTTCTTTGATAATGTTCCTGTCCATTTTTTAATGTTCTTTCTTCTCGGAACTCTTATTGCATTTATTTTGACATTTTCTCTGGTTGTTCCATTTTTTTTTCCAAAACATCTTTTAAACATTTTTAAAGGGATGCATTATTTGTTCTTATGGCTAGGATCTTAATGATAGTTTTTTAAAAGTTAAAACATTTTCTTCTGCTTTCTGACTTATCTCTTTTTGCTTCAGATTTTTTCTTTGTTTGTGTTTGTTGCTTTGTGGTCATTGTCTCTCATGTTGGAACCTCTTCTCAAATGTCTGGTGAACCTTTGGTCCGTTCATATTAAGAACCAGGACTCTGCTCATATATGTCACCAGGAAACTGTGTGCCCAGGTGGGGTTTGTCGGCGGGTGGTGTCCGCTGTGATGGGTGTTGGTGCCTGATCTCATCATTGGGGACCCAGGAGTGGCAGTTTCTGCACCTCTTTCCTTTGCCCTGCTCAGAAGCTCCTGGGAAATGTCCTGCAGTCCCCCACCGTGGGAGGGTGGTGGGCTGAGGGCGGGGGCTGTGGGAGCCTGCAGTGTCCTGAGGGTCAAGTAGAGAGAAGGCCTAGGGCAGGGGGTCTCACCATTCATTAAGTCCCCCTTTCAGCACAGCACTCCACAGCCACACTCCCCAGAGCCTCGTGTCCTTGATTTCTCCCGAGAGGAACTTCAAACGACCTGCTGGGGCATAAGATCAGTGGTTACTTGGTTGCAGGGCGTCAGAAAGGGGATGTGGGGGGCACTTTGATTGCTCCTGACTCCAACCCTCATCCATGCTCATGTTTCCAGCCCTGGCCCTGCCCTCTCCGGTCCCACTGTGCAAACTGCCTCTCCCTTCACTGGCTCCCCCTACCCCGGCACAGAGGCCCCTACGTCAGCTGCCGTTGACTCATTTCCCTCCTATCTTTCAAACTCTGTGACCATCTCCCACAGGCTGTTGCTCTGTTGTCTCCTTTTTCTTCTCCTGTGAGTTGCTACTTTTTGTGATATCACTCTAGAGGTGTGTACACGAGTTCAATCTGCCATTTTTCACCTGGACCCATTACGCGTCAGAGATGAGATGCGTTGTGAGTCTTCTTGGACGAGCGCTGCCTTTGACCTGGACTACAGCAGCTCTCAGCGGGAAGGGCCTGCTCCATGCGAAGAGATAAGATGAGCAGAATAAAGCCAGCATCCATAGAATGCTGGTTGGGATGGGCTCTGCCTGGATTATCTCATTGCATCCTCACAGCTACACTGTGGGAAGGACCCCTCATCCCCGACTCACAGAGCGGGAACCCTGGAGTGACTTGCCCAGGGTCCCCTGGGGAGAAGGGGCCGAGCTGGACATTGCACCCAGCCCAGCTCAGCTGGAGTCTGAAGAGCCTCACGGTCCAGGTCCCCTTCCCAGACCTTCCCTTAGCACTTCCAAAGTTGCATGTGCTGTGCCCCCTTTATTACTTAGACCTTAGTTTTCCCTGACGTGCCCAGGCGGTTGTGTTCAGGGGTACGGATGTGATGAGAAATCTCCTGGTCCTGAATCTACTTTGGTAACATTCTTGCAGTTCCAGATTTCTTGCTTTTCTTATTTAGACCCCAGAAGAAACTTCTGATGGGCAAGTGAGAACCTCTGTTGGAACACACACATGTGCATACGTCCACGTGTGTACACACACATGCACACACACACAAGCTGTGAAGGGTCACAGTGTAAAACTGACAGATAAAAAACCTGTGAGACATGAGCGCAAAACAAGTCAACAGGATCCACAGTAGGTTGATACTAGAGCAAGTTAAAAACAACGCAATTATTTTAAAATCTTTTAGCATCATTATTAATACTATTAATGATTGAAATTATTAGTGATATTAGCATAATTGTATTTGCTCTCTCTTGGGATCCTGTGTACAGTGGCACAGTCGTCACAACCACCTTGCCTGATGGATGTCTGTACCCTCATTTTATGTAAAAGACACTGAAGGTCAGCGACGTTGGGCAACTTTCTAAGGACACACCGTGAGTAGTGTGGTGTCTCTGCTAAATGTCCGGTGCGCGTATTCGTTCCTTGACACCACGGTGTCTTTCAAAAATATCGAGCCCAAATAAGTAGAAAGACTATTTTGAACACACAGGTTCCGATCTCAGTAAGAAATCTACGATTGTTGCTCAAACTCTGAATCAGGAATTTCCTTATCCCATCAGGTTCCATTTGCCGATGTGCAGTTAGGCCGTTTTCTTTGGTGAGTTTCAACAGAAAGGCACGCAGAGCTACACAACGGCACAGCCACGAACACACGGACATGCACACGCACCCACGTGTTTCAGGAGACTGTGACGTGTGGGAGGGCAATGATTTTGAGATGCTTTTTACACAGAACGAGAAGAGACCAGGGACCGGGCAGAAGGATCTTCATTTAGAGCAGATTGTCGTTGTCTGGGCGGCACGGGGGCCCAGGGCTGCCTTGCGTTGTGTGACATTTTTACAGCATCTTTCCCCTCTTTCAGGCTTTATTTCCCTCCTCATTTAAGTCTCTTATAACTTAAGAATCCATGATTCGTGTGTATAAACTATAACAGTATTTGCCTCTTTATTTTTTTTGACAGTTTGTTGTTGCTTAATAAATGCTTTTGACCAAGTATTTGCTTCCTTCTTAGTAGGGGTAGAGCCCAGACAGTGACCGGCCATCTCTCAGAGCATGGGGGCCCGGAACCCAGGCGGAGAGAATCCTTTTTCCCTTTAGCCTGCAGAAGGCTGGGGCGAGAAGCGAGCTCTTTGGATAACATCCCACAGGGCTGCAGCAGCGGCCGGGGTGGGAGAGAGAGGTTGGATGGGTTTCCAGGAGCCAAAGTACATTCTTCCCTGATAATCTCCTTAGAAATGAGAAAAAGGCTCCCTCAAGTTTTTACAGTTCCAGCTTTCATCTGCTTTTTGCCCATAGGTGCTTCATTCCTTGGCTTGAGCAAATGCCTTCAGGGAAAAGAAACCAGATGTCACTTAAAAAAAAAAAAAAGCTGAGGAACTCTTTGTTCAAATAAAATTGTGCATAAGAACCCAATAAGTAATGCCCCTCCCCACAGAGGAGGGACTCTTGGTGGAAGCCTGTCCCTCCTTGTGCTGCTGCTTTTGGGGACCGGTGTGGGGACTGCTCGCTGACCTGCTCCCTGCATTTCTTGTGTGAGAAAGCAGAGACCCGGTAAGAGCCAGTTGCCTGTCCTTGCCGAGCTAGTGACTGGTAAAGCTGGGACCCCCGCCCAGTGCCTGCTCCCTGCGTCATCCTAACCTCAGCCACGCTGCGGTCAACCGTGTTTGAACATACGTGGTCACAGCCTGGGGGATCACTGCCATCGTGACCCCAAACGTCTACCCAGATTTCAACTCTGCAGTCAACCTTACCTAAACACAGAGGAGGTCATCGCAAGGTGTATGTCATCCACATTGTATTTTATGTGCAATAATTGTGCTTTAAAAATAGCCCATTGAATCCTTTTGGAACAGCTTTTGGGTTTTAGAAATGGGAACATTACTGTATTATTATTATTATTGTATCCTGTGAAGTTTCTTCTTGATTTTTTTCACTTATTTAATCACTACGTATGTGTTTATGTCTATATCTAGAATATTCTTTTTGTATTTCAAAGTGGTTTGTTTTTGTTTTTTAGTTTGTTACATGTGTCACAATTGATGAACCCACGTTTGACACATCGTTATCACCTAAAGCCCATAGTTAACATTATTAGGGTTCTGTCTTGTTGTTCTACAGTCTCTGGGTTTTGACAAATGTATCATGATGTGGACCCATCGTTATAGTACCGTAGTGAATAGTTTCACTGCCCTGATGCTCCTCTGTGCTCTCTCGCTCCCCACTAAGCCCTGGAAACCACTGATCTTTTTACTGTCTCTGTAGTTTTGCCTTTTCCAGAGTGTCACAGAGTTGGAGTGACACAGCGTGTGGCCTTTTCAGACTGACTCTTCACTTAGCAATATGCACGTAAGATTCTCCATGTCTTTTAGTGATTTGATAGCTCATTTCTTTTTATTGCTAAATAATGTTCCATTGTATGAATGTACCACAATTTGTCTATCCATCCACCTACTGAAGGGCTCTTGGTTGCTTCCAAGTTTTAGCAATCTTCATGAATTTTTTGAAAGCTGGAATGGAACTTGTAGGAAAGGATACTGCAGGACACCACCCAGGTGACATGCTGTGCTATTATAATCAATTTTGAGATTGTAATAATGGATCATCAGTATGCTGCCATGCAAGGGAGCTGATTATTTTTAATACAATAAGCGTTACAGATTTAGTATGGGTCTATGTTATGAACAATGGAATGTTAGGTCTTTGTTCAGAGGACAGGGAAGTCAGTAGTGAAGAATTGCTAAACATTCTATCCCAGAGTCACTCTGAGAGTACAGATATTCTGTCTACTCAGCGTGCCTTAAAACTGGACTCATAGAGTTATGAGGACAGGTAGATTGTTGTCTATGTTGGATATTTAGAAATTAGTGTAGAAGTTTCTTCTCAGCATTGTTAATGTTTATATTTCCTCTCCCTACATATTCCCAGGGATGGGGCAATCACTCTCTCATAAAATAGCCATTCCCATCACAGGGTAGCTCTGTTTCTTAGCACGCGCTTGCTTATATTAACTTCAAACATGTCTCCTTTGTTGTGTCTGCTTTTACCTTCTACAATTACACAGCAATATGGCTATTTTTGCTCATGATTGAGACTGACAACTAGAACAATAACTGGTTCATAGAAATCTCGTACAAAATATTTACTGAATAATTTCAAAACTGAATGAATGAGTGAATATTTGACTGATCTTCATATATTTCAAAAGAGTATTTCCATAATTTTCTCTTTTCACATAAAACACAACTAGTTCTTTTAACCTTATTTCCTACAATATATTTTTTAGAGCTATCATATATTGGTTTTATTTTTCTGGACATATTATTTTTTATCAATGTTCTTCTTAGAAAATCACGCACAGAATAGGCCCTAAAAAATCTGGGACTGTTGTATTTTGTGATCTGGACTTAATGGTTCTTTTGAGGCAAGAATTTCAGGGAGGCCTCATCACACTGCCTTCGAGAACAATCAGATCTTTTTTTTTTTCATATCAGCTGCTGCCAAGCTAAGTCCCTCCTAGTCAGCAAAAAGAAGGGCTTTTCAAACCCCTAAACAAACAAAATAACCCAAAGCTTAACGTATATCTTACGAAATTGAAGGAGATGCAAATGATGTTCTCTTTGAAAATCTATTTTATGCTTTTTATTGTTATCCTAATAATGAATCATTTTAAAATAGATGGGTAAAGTTCTAAAACCATTTGGCCTTAAAGAGCAATACATGGGCCGGGCACGATGGCTCACGCCTATAATCCTAGCACTCTGGGAGGCCGAGGCGGGTGGATCGCTCAAGGTCAGGAGTTTAAGACCAGCCTGTACAAGAGCGAGACCCTGTCTCTACTAAAAAATAGAAAGAAAGATCTGGACAACTAAAAAAAATATATATATATAGAGAGAGAGAAAAAAAGAAAAAAATTAGCCAGGCATGGTGGCGCGTGCCTGTAGTCCCAGCTACTCGGGAGGCTGAGGCAGGAGGATCGCTTGAGCCCAGGAGTTTGAGGTTGCTGTGAGCTAGGCTGACGCCATGGCACTCTAGCCCAGGCAACAGAGCCAGACTCTGTCTCCAAAAAAAAGCAATATATGATACAGAAAATGGAGAAGACAAAAAAAAATAAGCAAACAAAACTCCAAACAAACAAATAAAAAGGCACCAAACCAAACATGAAGTAATTCACACATGCTGATGCAGTGTGGAACAAGGTATGTGAATTCACTGATGACAACGGTGTTTCTGAAGCGTTCACTTGTGCCAGCCTGTGTCATATGCTTCGCACATGCCAACGGATTTAATACGTACAGCAGCTCTATGGGAGGACACTTTTTAAATGATTTTTCTTATTGTGGTAAAAAAACACATAATGTACAACTTACCATCTTAACCATTTTTAAGTGTACAGTTCAGTAGTGTTACAGTTCAGAACTTTTTCATCTTGCACATCTGAAACTCTACCCCATTAAACAACAACTCCCCATTCCCCTCTCCCTAGCCTGTGGTAACTGCCATTTTGCTTTCTGTTTCTATGAACTTGACTGCTTTAGATGCCTCCTATACGTGGAATCATGGAGTATTCGTCTTTTTGTGACTGGTTTATTTCACGTAGCATAATGTCCTCAAGGTTCATCCTGTTGTAACAGGCGACAGTTATGTGTATGTACTAAATTTTGTTTATCCATTCATTCACTGATGGGCGCTGGGTTGCTGCTGCTTCTTGGATAATGTGAATAGTGCCACTAAGAACATGGGCATGTAAA